TACTAACAAAACACGTGATAATGCCAATTTGCCAGATTCTCTATAAATGCGTTGTCTCTGACTTTCGAATAATAAGTATAACATCTCAACATGTACCAGTAATATATTTACCGTACTAGTGCAGTGGTTGAATTTTAAAATAAGTTTCAGTTGGCAACACCATGCAGTGAATTTGTACTCGCTAATCTTTTGTAAAGTACATAAGTTTTTGATTCGAATCGTTTAATTCTTGTTCTGAAATTTAAATGCTTTGAATCGAATCCTTTTATAACATTGAATCAAGTACGCGGTAGTCGGTTTTAAAAGCATATCATACTTACAATAAACGTAAGAGCTTTCTTGGGTATAATTAACAATTCTAGATTCGAATGAAATAATTTATTCTCAGATTAATTATGCCTACACTTCACTCAACATTTATTTTCTTATTGAATTGAGAAATATTATTTGAAGCAAACTCTGCTTTATTTCAAACAAATGTAATCTTCCAAGTGTAAAGCTTTCCTTGAATGTAGATGATAATTTTTTCTGTGTGGTTTCAGAAATAACTAATTTATACATTACCAACACATTGTTTACCTCGTAGCAGTAACTTTTTATTCTTTGGGATACTTTCAATCTTGATTCTATATAGTTGTTTTTCAGCTTTCAGTTGTTTAGTACGTTTCGTCGAGTTTCTAATTCCATATTTTATCTAATTCTGTTGGTAATTTGGCTTGGTAGAAATAATTTAAATTCCCATCTAGTATCAAATCTCTCCACCGTAATTATCGCAATTTTCCTTGAAGTGAGACGCAGTTTGGTCTTTATCTTTAACTTATATCGCTAAAAACTTTGTACTCGTATATACTCTGCATGTAATATTGTCTCATAACTCCGCGCGAAGCCCACGATCTTCCGGAAAGCTGTGGTGCCGAGAACGTCAAGATAAGGATATTTTAAGGGGTTGTTGGAGGCGAATAAGGAGCTGAGCAATAGTGTTAAGGACCTTTTCTAGATCTAATATCCTCGCGGCGGTGATACCAAAGACGCGAGACTACATTTTAGCATTGGATGAACCTATCATTTCGGAATTTTATTATTTTGTGTTGGTTTCGTCTTTTGTGCTTTGTTCGTTGCAGAACTCGATAATACAATGTTGCTATTTTGTTTATGGTTATACAAGAGTTTTAAAGAAAAGTGGGTCGGTACTTTTATCAGCTTAACAAAAATTTAAAACTTAATATTGTTGCAAGTAACATTAAAAATGGAAACTGAATAGATTTTCGATAAGGATGGTGGTAGATTATTTACTACCGGGTGTCCCACTTAATTAATTTTCCAGGGTATTGAATGCTTTTACTAAAGAAGAATACAAAACATATTATTTCTTAGAGAAAACCAAAATCTTACTGACTCAAGTAAATTTAAATGCTCTAACTGTATATCCTCAATTATAAATGACAGTATTTCAAACGATTAAACTCTTATTGACCTTTGTTTTTGAAGAGCCTTTTCATTCAAATGACCAATTTTAGACCTTACCAAGGAAGCAGAGATGACGTCAAATCCAAAAATATTAAAAAATAAATTGTCCGAACTTAGACTGCGATTTAGACTAATTTCGCCTGTGATTATCCAGCTACATCTAAAACCTTCTAAAAGCCATTTCTCTTTGCCCAGAATTACAAGCAATTCGAAATTAGAATAATTTTAACAAAGTAGAGTAATAAAGTACGTCGTTTATTTGCAAATTCCGCATTTCAATTAAATTGAACAAAATTTATCTAGAATGTAATACCGACTACCTTTAATATTACTGTCAATTACTTATACATGTAAGAGATAGAATACTTGCTTAATTAACATATTTTCATGATAGACCTAGCGGTACGTCAAAGTAATGACAAATAATGTTTATTATATGAACTTTTTTATTATTTCTGGAAAACATGACATGATATTTAACAATAATATGGAACTTTTTAACTTATGGATAACACTGCATTCTCCAGAATATTGAAGTGCAGAATTGTGTAGTGTTAAAACAGATTGTGAATCGGCTCGGTATGGGCAAAACTATTGGACACCATTTTGTGAATAATTGTCTTCTAGTATTTAATATTAGAATTAATTTTTTGACGGAATCAGATACAAACATAAAATTAGAAAATTACATGGAAGACTGGGTTTGCAGAAAATACAATAATTACTGGGATTAAAGGTTGGTCTTTTGGATTAAAGGTTGGTCTTTTAACTTTCAGATAAAGTGTAATTTTTAATTCTCAGATAACTTAGAAAGTCATCTTTTCACTTTTGTATACAACTAACCGGCAGATAAATTGACATAATCTGAAAGATAACTTATCTTACCTATGAACTTGACAGTAATGGTCCTTTTCACAAGGAAAAGGATGAAAGTGAAATTAAAACCTCCAGAACTCCTAAACACAACACTAAACTTTGTAACAGAGGTAAAGTACCTAGGTCTTACCTTTGACAGCAAGTTAACATGGAACTCGCATTTAGAAAACAGAGTTAAAAGAGCATACATTGCTTATGAACAATGCCGCCGAACCGTGGGGCGCACCTGGGGTTTTTCCCCCAGAGTCGTCGCATGGACTAATACGGCTATCATAAGACCTATGCTAACATGCGGTGTAGTTGTCTGGGTACCGAAAACCCAAAAATTAACAGCTCTTCGTAAACTAGAACAAATTCAAAGAACAGCATGCCTCAACATAACAGGAGCCATGAAAACAACACCGACCAGAGCCATTGAAGTCATTCTTAGTCTCACTCCCCTTGATATTTATATCAAAGAGGTTGCTCTGACGACAATGACATGCCTCCGCACGATTGGAATTGGAATAAAACCTGATGAAGGATCTGGTGAGGCGAGACGCCGCTTTTGGCAGGAGGCGCTCGATACGCTCCCACTGCTTCAAGCGAACTAGATTCCATCTCACCGAGATATATCTTCCATAAGTCATATAAACTTATAATAGAACAAGAGCCAGAAGTGGCAGGTACAATTCATATCTACACCGACGGTTCTAAAACAAAACAAGGCTCAGGATGTGGAATATACTCCAAATTCTTAAACCTAGACATAAAATGGGCTGTGAGCAATCGTGCCACTGTAGTTCAAACAGAGCTAACGGGGATTCTCATAGCAGCAAAAGAAATAACCGGAAACAAAATCACTAGAAGGAACATGCTCATCTATACAGATAGCAGACAAGAACTACTCACCCTGAACAGACCACGAATTTACTCACGTATTAGAATGTCACAAAGTTTTGGCCGAAGTATCCATCAACAATGTGGCCACCTTAAGATGGATCAAAGGTCACGCCATATCGAAAGTCAAGAAACCAGCCAACAAAATACTTTTTGGACCTGGCCCTTCTATTGGCCTGACAAATCGGTAGTGACAGACCTAATTAAAGAACATTCCCTTGCGAAATTCAAGGAAAGATGGGATAAAACAAGAAACTGCAGAGTTGCAAGGAAGCTCTTAAGTTATCCTGACAAAATTGCAGCAAACAAATACTTGACTATGACTAGACAGAATCTGCGGCTAGTCACAGCTGGTCATTGCCAAGTACCGAAACATCTCCATATCATGGAGCTGTCAGAATCGGCACTCTGCAGAGAGTGCGAACAAGAAGATGAGACCATCGAGCATATCCTTTACGATTGCTCGACGCTCTCATTTATTAGAAGATTTTTGTTCGGCGAGTATCGGCTAACGTAGTCAACTACTCGTACATTAAATGTGTAGGCTGTCTCACGAGCTAGAAGGTGCCTATCATCTTAGGAGGCTGCACAATAGGCCTAATTAGGCCTAAGTGCCGTGGGTAACTCACCCTCTACACGTTATAGATACAGATACCTCTGAACTTCCTAATAGTATTTAACTCTTCGATTAATAGGAATATGGCATATGTGATATGAGACAACATATTATTTTATTTGCTTTTATGGACGTTGTTGAAAACGTTGTGTTTTTGGTAAATAGTGGTTTGGTTAATTGTATCGTATAATCGTATATTTATTCTTGAAAACAAAAACTTTTGGAAAAATAGGTGATGTAATAAAAAAATACAGCTTTGAAAAATACATTTAATCAAATGAACATCCTATACAACAGATCCCAGAATTAGTTTTTTTTTTTATTTTGCAATGCTCCTTCTTGTTTCAAACAATAATAATCTCACTTCTTGCTCATTGAAAGTTGGTCCATCTTTTCTTATTGTCATTTACTTTATGAAATTTTAAATAATAAATAATTTCAGAAAAATAAGAACACTTCTTTTAAATAACGCCAAAAAGTGACAGTGTGAGTGACATATAGGACGCATACATTGATATTAAGGTAGTTACGTAAGCACATAACGTTAAAAAGTACCAGATAACTACCCTATAGATTATTTCTCTTAAAAGACGAAAACTTAATTATCTGTCAGATAGTAACTCTCGGATAATATATCCGTTAGACCGACCCTAAACAAACTAGAAGAAAAATACACTATCTTGATCGATTGATATGTTTGTGTTGATGAATGAAAGTTAGTGTGTTTTCGTTTTGTATTTTCGTCTTTTGGGAATGAAAAATTAGTGCACAGTATAATAAAATAAGTGCCTATATCCTGTTACTTGAGAGACGCCATTTTAATCGGAGGAAATACAGGTTTAACTTTGCTTTTCGTAATGTGAAGAGAATTTTGGAAAATCGACTATTTTCTTCAAAAGAACATTGTCTGTCCCCTTGGCAGTTCTCTGGCTCAGAAATAAAAGTAACAATGAACCAAAAATGAACAATGAACAAATAAAGTAAAAATGTACCTATAACTGGTGAATATAAATAAGAAACCAACTGATGAATGAGTTTGTATTTCGATAATCTTCAATACACTATTTGTTGTATTACCTTCGATTATATATCTCATAATTTAATAATTTTCTATATATTTAGTTAATTAATAATTAATAATTATACAATTGCGAATTAGAAGGCAAAATTTTGAGGCTGTACAGTTTGAAGAAGAAACAAATTTGGCGTTGAATGTTTCCCAAACAAGTAGCGCGTCATTGCACCCACCACAACGTATAGGATTACCGTTACCTAGCCCTTCATCACATGGTAGTTTTACATACGAACAATTATCAACAGCGCAGTCACCACCACAACTAAATTACGAACCACTTCGTCCATCTTTAGAGCAATCTTATGATATACAAGCAACTTCCAAAGAAGTATCTCTTCCAAACTACTTTGAAAATTTTAGATATAATCAAAATAGTTAATTTTTGTATAATCAAAATAGAAAATTTTTGTATAAAAGTGTTCATACCTCAAACATACTGCAAGTTTAGTTTTAGTTTCGATAGGCTGTTGTGCGTTACAATAACCTATTTCTTGTATTTTAGTTTTAATTATGTTATGTAGTTCTTGAAACTGTTCTTTAGTAACTCTGAAATACATTTTCATTTGATTATCAAGTAAACTTATTAAATTGAATTCCCCATGAGTGCTTATTTTCCTCAAATAATCGTTTTTCCATACTGATTTTTTATGCCTTTTGGACAAACTATATAAAAAGACAATATTTTCTATTTCCGAATCTGATTCCGAATCCAAAAGTTAGTTTAACTGAGCGGATGGATCCATATTTTTTTTTAAAAACTATAACGGAAACACAGGAAAACTTAACTACCTACGTTTAATATGCGGATATCGCTTTGGCAGAGCACAGGAATAGTTTTCCTCTGTAGTTCCTCCGCCGTGCTGTGCTAGGCTACGCTGCCCTCAATGTGCAGCTAGCCTAATGCGCTGCTTAGCAGTCTTGTTTCATGCGTGGTCATATTATACCTTGTTCAATTCATTGTAAAATAGAAGATCCGTGTTTCAATTTCCGTACCTATATTTGAAAATGTACCAAAATCGAATTTAAATTACTAAAATATCAATGTTGAAAAATACCATGAAAATTCATTATTATGCCACTAAGACAATACGATTAATGAGGACCGATTATTTCATTTAACTACCGCTGGAATATTGGAAGAAAATATTAAATCGGTAGACAGTTAAAGTAGCAGCTTAGTTATCTCTTCACTTTGCTCTGAAAACGTAAATTAATTTCCTCCCGGGAAATAATGAAGTTTTTAAATGGACTTTTAAAATGCAGTTTCAACTGTTTGAAGTTTATGCTCTTGTGATTATGGTTTTATCGGGATAATCTAAAAAGTTTATTACGGAAAGCTATTTAAAGAGAAGCTACATCATGTAGTGCCATCTCGAAAAAATGTTTACATTTAGTGCGATGCAAGAGAAATATATTTTTTAATATGAACACTTTTTAAAGTTAGATAGCAGTTTTATAATAAAAAAAAATCTATTACATAAAAGCGTATAATGTGAAGTTAATTTTGTATTACTATTAGTTTTTAAATTAAACTTAAAACTTTTATTACATTGCAGAAAAAAATAAAACTAACAAATTTATTATTTTAAACGCTCTGTGTTTACAAAAAGATGTTATGTATACCTTTGACGTATTAAAGGGAGACCCTAATTTATATAAAGGAACAAGAACGCTAGTCATTTTCTGAGACAAAAACAAGTGCAAGAGTTAATTATTTGCCCTTCTAAAGAAGAGTAATGTTGTTCTGGAACTGTCAAAAACAGAATTGGAGACTATAATAATGGACTTCTTTAGAGTATCGCCTCAAGAAATCGTAATAGACAAGAGGCCGCAGCCTCTGCTGTTTTACTTTTGAAATTGATGAAATACAATTTGAAAAGTGAATTTACTAATATTTAGATTTCCAGGACTTTAGAGCCTATAGTTAAGAGTCAAATATTTTATGATAAATTTAGTTCTTTGTTAACCCCATTGAATAACCATAATATATTACAGAACAACTTAGGAAAAATTCCCGTTTCAAGACCAATCAAATTTACGGTTTTTTATGTAATGATAGGTAATAAATACAGTTCATCAAATTTCTAGAGGTGTTCGACGCCCAGAAAATATACACTCTTTAAACAAATTTTTGTCCAGAAAATAATGTTTTGCTGATCAAGACCGGAAAGTAGACGTTAGGGGCCGGCAAATGCTTTTACCGGTCCCCGTTTTATATGGATTCAGATTTTGAATTATCTGATATAGAAAATGAAATTCCAGAAGAAATTTTGGAAGCAGCAAAAAAGGCCACCTAGTTTTGGTATTTGTTAATTATTTTATTAAATAATTGAGTTAACATCGAAATGTCAGTCTTAAAAAAAAATATTGTGTCACGCGACCGAAAATTAGTGTTAAGCAGGTCTCTCCAAGTCTCGCCTTCGGCTCGACCTGGAATCTGCTTATCTAGACCTGCGAAACACTACTTTCCGGTCTTGTAACGTAAATTACTACTACAGCCCGTCATTTTTCTGTAAGAGTGAAATAATAGATATTTAATTTAAAAAAATAAGCACCCATCTGCATTCGGCTATCAGTTATCACGTCATGACTTATCTTAGGATTCCGTATACCGCAATCTGCAACTTTTATTCGTTCATAAATCACAAATTACGATACCTAGGTACCCATTGCGGCAAGTATTATTTACGGTGCTTGAGAACAAAGCGATATTAAATTGTTAAACGTAAAGATTACACCCTCGAGCTGAAAACCCCATTTTCCAGCGGTAATTCCCCAGGCGATTATAAATCATTCAAAATAAGGTAGCAGAGTTTTGTTCAAAGTTTCCGAACTACACATATTGAACTCCTAAGTCTTTCTTACCTTGTCCGGGGCCTCTCATCTAACCGCAACAATTCGTTTTGATTTGTATTAGTTTCTAGTTTCCAAACTTTAACTAGGTGCTTCGGATTTGGTTATAATTAAGGGAAAACGAACCATTTTCGTGAATAATTTTAATCCAGCAATAAGTTAAATGTAATTTATAACTTTAGGTCATTCATCAGAAAGTCAAACGTTCCCGAAAGGTCAATACATTGAGCTTCGTCTGATTTAAATGATTTACTCTACCTTTCAGAAGATAAAATGAGGGAATAATTAAATTGGTTGATTCTAAATACATATTAAGAGTTAGAGTGAGTTACAAATTAACATGACGAATTATTTGCGCATAAAATAGGAATAGGTAGTGAACAATTTGTGCATTTGTTTTTTCTGTGGAGACTAATTTAAAACCCGAAGGAATATGAAGTACTTATTTGTTTTTTAATTTTATTAAAGATTCTTAAATTCTTAAATTCTTAAAGAAAGATTCTTAAAGAAATATTCTTAAAGAAAGATTCTTAAGGAAAGATTCTTAAAGAAAGATTCTGAAAGAAAGATTCTTAAAGAAAGATTCTTAAAGAAAGATTCTTAAAGAAAGATTCTTAAAGAAAGATTCTTAAAGAAAGATTCTTAAAGATTCTTAAAGATTCTTAAAAATTCTTAAAGATTCTTAAAGATTCTTAAAGATTCTTAAAGATTCTTAAAGATTCTTAAAGATTCTTAAAGATTCTTAAAGATTCTTAAAGATTCTTAAAGATTCTTAAAGATTCTTAAAGATTCTTAAAGATTCTTAAAGATTCTTAAAGATTCTTAAAGATTCTTAAAGATTCTTAAAGATTCTTAAAGATTCTTAAAGATTCTTAAAGATTCTTAAAGATTCTTAAAGATTCTTAAAGATTCTTAAAGATTCTTAAAGATTCTTAAAGATTCTTAAAGATTCTTAAAGATTCTTAAAGATTCTTAAAGATTCTTAAAGATTCTTAAAGATTCTTAAAGATTCTTAAAGATTCTTAAAGATTCTTAAAGATTCTTAAAGATTCTTAAAGATTCTTAAAGATTCTTAAAGATTCTTAAAGATTCTTAAAGATTCTTAAAGATTCTTAAAGATTCTTAAAGATTCTTAAAGATTCTTAAAGATTCTTAAAGATTCTTAAAGATTCTTAAAGATTCTTAAAGATTCTTAAAGATTCTTAAAGATTCTTAAAGATTCTTAAAGATTCTTAAAGATTCTTAAAGATTCTTAAAGATTCTTAAAGATTCTTAAAGATTCTTAAAGATTCTTAAAGATTCTTAAAGATTCTTAAAGATTCTTAAAGATTCTTAAAGATTCTTAAAGATTCTTAAAGATTCTTAAAGATTCTTAAAGATTCTTAAAGATTCTTAAAGATTCTTAAAGATTCTTAAAGATTCTTAAAGATTCTTAAAGATTCTTAAAGATTCTTAAAGATTCTTAAAGATTCTTAAAGATTCTTAAAGATTCTTAAAGATTCTTAAAGATTCTTAAAGATTCTTAAAGATTCTTAAAGATTCTTAAAGATTCTTAAAGATTCTTAAAGATTCTTAAAGATTCTTAAAGATTCTTAAAGATTCTTAAAGATTCTTAAAGATTCTTAAAGATTCTTAAAGATTCTTAAAGATTCTTAAAGATTCTTAAAGATTCTTAAAGATTCTTAAAGATTCTTAAAGATTCTTAAAGATTCTTAAAGATTCTTAAAGATTCTTAAAGGAAAAAATGTTTAATGTAGGAGTTGTATTAAAGCCTGCTATAGAAAATTATCTTCTAATAAAATTAAAAGAAAAATACAATATTTGATTAAAGAATTACTGGAACGAACGCTTATAATGTCGGTTATAACTCAAGTTTTCGCGCTTTTCCACATTAGAGGAATTTACTCACTAAATTTAACCATAATTGTAAAATCTTTAAAACTTCCATTAAACCGACCTAACTTCTTTCATTAATTTTATAATATACGTCAAAACCACATTCGCATCATAAATTATACTTTCAACAACATCCTCACTTGTAGTTCGTATATTTATTATATTTTTTCCATTGAAGGGCCTATTGTTTTGGACAAGGAACGAAATTTGAAGTTGATGACAATTTACTACGTAGATATGACGAGGGTCGGCCGAAACAAGAAAACAAGCTGACATTTAATTGGAGAGACCCTCGAAAAGTTTTTTCTTGATTCTACTTGTTGAAGGTGCTTTCAAAACTGAAAGGTAGACTCAGGAGAATAATTTATGTCAAGGGTGCTCTATTAATTTTCCGCATTAAATGTAATTAATTACTCACAGAAATCGGAATATACGGTATATTTTTAATAAAAAAAAATCATTTAAAATAAATAGGTATACAGAGCTTTGTAGATACTTATACGGTTTACATTTGCCATATGCATTAAATAGCATTATCTGGCAGTGTTCGAAAGGTGTAGAATATAACATACATAAACCAACTAACCTGGACCTCTATGCTTGAGGTACAGGATTATTCATTATAAATTA